CGAAAGCCGTTTAGCTTACGGGGTGTGATGTTTGCCTACAATGTATTTATGGTCGTATCCAACGCCTACTTCTTCGCCCTATCGATCCGATGGCTAGACTACGGCCGGCGGGCCTTTGAGTTTGAGTTCCCGTCGCGTACGGACACGAGTGCGGCCACACTCGAGCAGATCGACGAAACGGTACTCTACGGGTACACCAAATTCATCGATCTCATCGATACCGTATTTTTTGTGTTACGCAAAAAACATTCGCACCTAACCTTTCTGCACCTCTACCACCACTTCATGGTGCCTGTGCTCGGATGGTCGGCCATCAAACTGGGGCCCACGTGTCAGCCAATCGCCGTGTTTGCCATATTGAATACACTGGTCCACGTGATAATGTACTCGTATTACGCTCTGTCGGCGTTCGGGCCGTCTGTCCAGCGGTTCCTGTGGTGGAAACGGTATATAACGCTTCTGCAGATCAGCCAGTTTTGCGTGTTTGTAACGTACGGTGCGTTCAGCGCCGCACTCACCAGCGGTTGGCCCAAAGGTCTCTATTGGATCGGTTGGGTTCAAAATCCCCTCTTTTTGCTGCTATTCCTCAACTTTTACCGCCAGTCGTACCGCAAGTCCGCCGACAAGACTAAGAAAGTTTTGTAATTATATTTACAAATCGCTTTGCTTTACAATACACACAATACATGCATATATTATGTAAATTTTTTAATATTCAAAAATCTGTATCATTTTTATTATACAATTGTGTCATTTATTATTTTATATATTTTCGAGATTTATCTTTTATAGTCTTTTAATTTATAATTTGTATTTAATTAGAGCTTAGAATTATAATTAATATTATATAATGTTTTTATAATTTGTGAAAAATGTTTTTATACCGAAAATACACACTTTTTTGTAGCATATATTTTGATTGAAATTTTAAAATAATTAAAGATTTAAATTTTGGTTTTAATATCCTTTTAAAAATCTATTGTTTTATTTAAAATACATATCGTTTTATTGCATTTTGCTAACACTTTTACTTACTATTGCCTAAAACATCTATTTGTTAAATTGATTACAAAATTATAATTAACACAATTCTTCGGCAATTGTTAAAAACAAACAAATTTTTCATATTTTCTTTGTTTAAAATCTGCTAAAACTAATACTTATATAATATTTAATATAAATTATAAAATATTTAATTCGGTGTTTATATAACACAACCATAATAAAAAAAATGTTTTACATAAATGCCAAACATTTAATTCAAAATAAACATAACTATTCACTATAAAACACTTCATAAACAAAACAATTAATGTTTAGTTATTATCAACAAATAATTATAACAATTCCTAATAAAAACCAATACATTATTTAATCCACTTTTTTGTGACCATTTATTTTGGAAATGCTATCAAACTTACAAACATTATTATTATCATCATTACTATGAATCAAACCATTAGTTTTGCTACAATGAAAGCCATTGCCATTACTGAGGCATCCATTCTTCAGGCCATCAATTGATTGTTTATTCTTCATATAAGACTTGATATAAAAACGGCCGAAGAGTATGAGGAAAGTGGGGCTCTGGATGTGGGCAATGATAAGCAGTGTGAGGGGTATCTCCTCAATGACAAACGTACAATAGGTGGCGTACAGGCCGTATATGACGAATTGAATCATTTGCAGCTGGGTGATATACTTTTTCCACCATAGATACGGCCGTATAGGGGGTCCCAACGCCGACAGGGCGTAGTAGGAGTACATGAGCACATGTATCGTACAGTTGACCAAAACAAATATGCACAGCGGCTGCAAAGTGGGGAACAGCCGGAAGCCGAGCCAATACAGGGCCGGAACCACTGAGTGATGGTAGAGATGGAGGACCGACACGTGCTGTTCCTTCTTCCGGAGCACAAAGAATACGGTGTCGAAGAGATCCACAAATTTGGTCACAAACAAGAAGTTTGCCTCTTCTATCACCGCTATCTGTTCGGGCGTTGAGTCTCGGGTGGGAGTGTTGTGTATGAATAGAGCCAACCCGTAGTCCAAGTATCTCAACACGAAGAGTAACGTTTTGAAATTGCATATCACCATGATGATGTTGTACACCAGGATCACTTTGCGCAGTTTGAATGGTTCCCGTTTTGACATCAGTTTTGGGCCTATTGTTGTGGTTATTTATAAATTCACGTATAGTTTAATCAATTATTTTAGAAATTATGTTTATTTTTGTTTTTGTCAAATTATATTAATTAATTCTGTGGACCACAGCCTATGGCTGTACTGCATTTAATACTTTCATTAAGTTAATGTATGTAAACTTAATTACTATTTGTGATATTAAACTCAAATTTAATGTATTAAAAATTGAAAGTTGTAATTTTAATGTTCCGGGTACTAAACTAGTTGTTGTTTTTTGTAATTTAACTAATTGTAGGAAAATTTCATAATTGTTATTTTTAAAAATCAATATAAAATACATATTAGTTTTATTAAACATGTTATTAATAATCACTTTCTAACATGTTATTTGTATTTTTGTGAGAATTGTTTATGAAAAGTAAATATAAAAAGTACTTTTCATAAACAATTTCCACAAAAAATAATAAAAGTAGAAAACCTTTTACACGATTACTGAACTATAAAATAAGTTTTGCAATTTTCTTTGTGGTGTAAATTATAGCATTAGTCGCCTGTAATTCATTTGATTGCAAACACATTAATTATCTAAACGACTATTAAATTACAATGTGTAAAATATTCAAATTTATGCATTAAATAACCGACAATTATATCATTAAAA